ACGTTCTCGTAGAGGAAAAAGACCAGTAAACAAACAAACGGATCGCATGCATCGGCGGGTAGGTTAAAACTTTTCTCTTAAATGTGAAAAGTGGCAGTGACCACGAAACGGAGGGTTTAAGAAATAATGTATTAGAGGTTGACAAACAGTTGATAAGTTTAAGGAAAATTAATGCTGACAACGAAAGTCGACTAGAAAAACACGGATGGAAAGACTATGAAACAGCTCGTACTGACTGTGAACAAAAAAGCATTCTGAAACTATTTTAACCGAATTTCTACTCTCTCAATCGAGGGCGACCATCGTTGTCTCTAAGCTAGAGGGAAGAGAAGTACGAATTATACTTTAACATCTGTAGAAGCACACGCACATGGAAATTACGCCATGCCTTTTTATTAAGAAGAGCATTACAACGTGGTTGAGAAACGTTGAATATCATCACCATTATATCAACATCAAATAATCATGAAACTGTTTCTAGCTTTATCATCACTGAATCCAGTGTTGCAGAAAAACCGTTCCATAACTTACTGAACCAATAGATCGATCTCTGTAATCCTCTGCTGAAATAGCAAATTAATTGGTCACAAAGAGTTTATCCCACTGACGACTGCTCTCTGGTGCTCAGAATATTCGTCAGCGTATAACCATCTTCTAAAAGTTACCAGCAGACTCGTAATTTAAAATAGAGGAGAGATACTGTATCAAACATGAAGAAGAGAAGGAAGACAACGAAATTACGGGAAAATAGAACTAAGAGAAGGGAGCAAGGGAACAAAGAAAACAAAGAAAAGCGAAAAAAAGTGTCAGAAAAAACGGGTTGAAAAGAAGAAACGGACAACAACTATATTCATTAAGACTTTGTTATTAGAAGAAAGTGACAGAAAAGCAATGACGACGATAGATGGTGAAAAGGCATATGCGTTAGAACGATTTTTGCAGAAATCTGCCACTTACCTTTAAATGAAACATTAGATTTTATGCGATAAGTTCACACCACCAAATGAAGCGAATTATTCAAATCTTAGTAACAAAACGGTGAAACGCGCGTCCGAAAACCGCCGGCTGTTGAAAATACGTAGCCGTTTTTTCTTTTCAATACTATTCAAAGGTAAGTTGGATCTGCCCATAAGAGATATCTTCTAACGCATTCCAAAGGGATTAAATGCATTACAAGGCAACCTCAGACTGTACACTTGCAAGTACTAAAAAGAAAAGTAAAGCACGTCAACGATTAAAATTTAAGCAGAAAGATATCCAAAACTCCGCCATGGCCGGTCCCAAGCCCGGATGAGAAAGGAGGAGGGTTGGAGACCGTAGCAAGTCTCCGT